TGTTATCAGTATCACTCATTATGCCACAACTGAAACGTTAATTTAAATCAAATGATTTTGTATAGTGGTACTCTACTCACGCATAGAAATATACACTCATACATTCATGAACACATAAAGAAGGTATTTTTGGCCTAGTCAAATGAACTAAAATGAGTCCTCTGTAATTTACTGGAAGAGTTTGGGGTGTATAGGTTTACAGTGTATGCCGCAGGCACATCCTCTCACTAATGTTACAATGCAATGTTATACCACTATTGTTCAGATCCAGAAAATGACACTTCCCTTAAGGGCATGCACATCAACTTACAGGCACAGCCCCACACCCCTCTTAAACCAACTTGATTTGGCTAAAACATAATCCATCAACGGGCAAAACTTTCTAAAGTACACTATAGCTCTCTTTTGCGCACACTGAGTAAGACTGTGGTTTCATACAGTAAGCAAAATAACACATGAACTGTCTTATAGTTAATATTCGATTCACATTTATTTGTATAGCGCTTTTCACAATACACATTGTTTCAAAGCAGCTTTACAGAAAATGCATGCGTCCACATTATACTTTAGAGTGATCTGTTATCAGAGGTAAGATATGTATTTCAGAAATGTACATAATATACAAATGACAGTTAACTAAAAATGTATTCATTTAAACAATGTAATAATTTAAGGCAGAAACAATGAGCTCATTAAACTAATGAATACTTGTTTGTTAACAAATGATGTATTATTATTTGCTGTTTTCAATTAATCATTTTAATTCAAATGTTTATATTTCATAGTTTGGCACATTTCGATATTTTAAACATTAAATATTTCATAACATTGTTTATGCAATGTATTTGTCTGTGTAGTAATTTAATAGTTTGTCATTTATTTATTAATCATTTCATGTTTTATGGTCACAATTTCCTAACATTATTTATCTGTCAATGAATATGCCTCATCTGTGCTGCAGCCTTTCTGTGCAAGTAAACAGTAATTTTTATATTATTTCTATTTGTATTTACAGTAGGTAAATACAGTCTGCGCCTCCGCAGCTTCAGAAGCAGCTTTATGGTGTAAACAGGCCCCTTACAGTATCCGATGATAACCATTCAACTAATCTGCACCTGTTTTACATGTTTTGCAGCCCACAAAAAAATACATGCATGCTAAAATTGTATTTAATTGACTGGACACGTGTAGTAACCCAAGTGCGGGACATTTCTCTTGGGTTCCCCTGACCTTTCCACAGTGGACACCTGTGTGGGCAGATCGCAGGTTTGTTCACCTGAGGAGGAGCACGGAGTGTGTTGTGAAAGGACCACACACTCCTGTGCAGCGAGGCCAGCTTTCCCCTCACAATGGCTGGAATTATCCAAATCAATACACCTTTGTGCACCTTAAGCAGAGAGGAACTAATGCCAGTCGACGTCTCCGACTTTATTTGAAAGCTTTAAAGAGCAAGATCTTGCACATTTTAATAAATCTGTGGCTGGAATTATAAGAACCTGCTTGCCAATCAACGTTCAGAGCTAATGCACCTAAACATGCGTGGAGTAATATAACATGTCAGATTGACATTTTAATCAAGCTTTCAAAGACAATAATTCCCTTTGATCAAACATGTTCCTTGTGTTTTCTTTTACATTCTGAGACTCAATACTCTGGTGCATCTTGATCCCACAACAACAAAGAATAGAATTAGTTTCATGGATACGAAGTAATGAGTATATGTTGCTAACCCAAAACAGAACAATGGACGCAAGAAAGCAGCAGTGAAGTTCCATTGTGCACTGATTTGCTAATCAGTGTGATATGAGTATGATTATGGCAGAATATGTGATTAAAGCAAGATCGTCTTCTGGAACATTTGAGTATTTTAGCAGGAATCTTCAAACTGCAGAAAACTGAATGTCTGAAAGAAGAAATGGAAACTTGTTCTTTTTAGCTTCACCCTGCTTTGTACTGGAAATATATCTCTATTTTTCAAAAGCCATTTAATGCTTTAATCATTTAATTTTAGACTGGTTTTATGTTGTTTTCTTAAAATTATACTGATGCACAATTCACAAACTCTTAAATCGTTTGAAAATTGTTATCAAACTATTGAGGAACTATTGAAATGATTGCATGTTCCCATGTTAATGCCAATCTTACATGGCTTGAGTATCATCCATTTATCTATGCATGTGTGATGAATAAAGCTCAATACTCATTTATAATATGAATATCAATACTCATTTAAATATATATGAATAAAGCTCAAAGCTCATACTCAATACCATAATACTCAATACTCTCCTTTCTGGAGTCAGAGCCTAAATAAACACAACACTACCCCCTGCATGGCTGGCATGGTACTGCAGCCATATGGTGAGGGCAGGGTGAGCCACCCAAGGGGGTTTGGCTATTGTGCCTACTTGCTTAGTCAGGAAGAAACTCTTTGACCTACATGTAAAGCAAACAATCACAGTTTGTTTATGTGTGCCATCACCATACCACAATAATTAGGCCGTGAGACAGAGGCTTGATTGGTACCATTTTGAGGGATTAAACCGCATGGTGATTTTTTTGTAGGTATATGACCCTGTATTTGAAAAATGTGTGATAGCATTAGATTCAAGGTAGTTTTTGGTTACGGAGGACGATTTTCAAACATATGTCAAGAAAAAGGATAAATGAATTTATCTTTAAATAAATTTAAAATTTTATAAAAAATTTATAAAAATTTATACATTTTTATAATAAAAAAATTATAATTTTTTAAATACATTTTTAAAATTATAAAAGGATAAATTTTTCTCTCTTGTAGTCACTGAACACCTTACCTTGAGGTAGGATGATATAAGTGTTGATTTCTATTTGAAAGCTACCATGGATCACACATTTTCCAACACTAGAGATGTGTACCTTCATGAAAATCAAAAAGAAATTTAATCCCTCAAAATGGTACCGGTAGCCCAAATTTGGGGTCCCGTCTCATGGCCTAAATAGACTGGCATAGAAAACAATTATTTTAAAAAAGGTGTGGCGGTCTGCTCAAATGGTTGTAGAGGAAAATGTGCACAGTACAGTTTCTCTCCATCCAGAAGATTTTTTTTCTCCATTGATGACCATTCAAAAGTATTACTCTTACTATTTCTTCCATAGAAAGATATGACAAAAAATACTATAGTAAGAGTAGTATGCAGTAGGCATGCGGTTCCGCGTTCAGAACAATTTAGATACTTTGGCAGGAATGGGTAAATGCTGACTTGGCAATAAGACCCTTCAAAAATCCAGGCTGCGAAAATGTACGCCACATAGAATGTATGCCTTTTCCTAGCATACGTGTAAACGGAAGTATAATTTTGGCTTTAGAGCAGGGATGGGGAACTCTGGCCCTCGAGATCCGCTTTCCTGCTGAATTTAGCTCAAACTAATTAAACATAGCCTCCCTGAACAAGCTAATCAAGATCTTTAGGATTACTAGAAAGCTACTGGCATGTGAGTTTGTTTAGGGTTTGAGGTAATCTCTGCATGCAGGAAAGTGGACCTCGAGGGCCAGAGTTGCTCATCCCTGCGAGGTCCTGATGATCCACTTGGTAAACTATAGCCTGAATCTATAGTGCCACCTATTGGAATAATATTCTCATTGAATGCATGTCTAAAACATTTAATGTCTGATCTCTTTGCTATAACTCAATTTAGGTTTCCCTTTAAATTCTATGTTGTTGTTGTTTTATCTCATCTGTCAATTTGAAAATCCTGTTCTGATTTCTGTTTGCGTGCATGAATAATTAATGTAACATTGCAGCTACATGTGTAGCTTTAATTTCCACCACTAGAGTTCACTAAATTACATAATTAGAATACTTTCTGTTTCAAACAACTTGACACAGAGCAGCTGTAGTTTCAAATAACACAGTGTTGCTATGTGATACAATTCCTGAATATAATTTTGTCATAAGGGACAGATATGCAACCGAAATGCTTTGATTTGGAGTCCCAGATGTTGTTATTTGTCTTATCAAAGTCAAGTAGCATGTGACATTTTGGAAATGCAAGTGGTGTCTGGTTCACTATCTTTGTGGGGATTCTAGACATAATTATTTTATACTGTACAAACTGCATATTCTATCCCCTTACACCCTACCCCTAAACCTATACTCATCACAGAAAACTTTCTGTAAAAAAAAAAAAAAAAAAAAAAACTCATTCTGTAAGATTTATAAGCTTGTTTTATAAGTCCCCATGAGTGTCTGTGCATTCAGAAACACACACACACACACACACACACACACACACACACACACACACACACACACACACACACACACACACACACACACACACACACACACACACACTTCTATGGTTCTTATAATCCTCATATTGTCATAAAAAGTGGAGAAACATATCCACGTGTGATCCTCAGGTCAAATTTGACTCACATTGAAAACCCTTGATTATAGATTATTAAGTTTATTTTTAATTGAATATTGTTTAAATAAAATGAACAAAGCTCATTAACACTTTTACACAACTTAAAAGAAAAACATTTCTTCTGGTTAACTTTGGGCATTTTATAATTTATAATCTCAAATGAACCCACCCACACACACACACACACACACATGCTAGGTTTTGCGGCACTCTCCATAGACATAATGATTTTTATACTGTAGGTAGGCTATAAAGACTACAAACCGTATATTATATCCCCCTACACTAAACCTACCCCCAAGCCTACCCAAAAAAATCATTAAAAACTACATAAAAACGAGTCTAATTAAAATAGACTTAATTACAACCTACCATATAGGCCTACCCTTCCTTTAACAGACACGTTATAGCCTAGACATATTTTGGTCCATATGAACACAACAGGCTCTTCTAATCCAACCCTCTGTTTCCCCACGCTGCTGCTCCTCTGTATGTACACACACGCTCCCCCATCCGGTGCAGAGTGGACGCGACGCGGCGCGGCTTAAATCATCTGACGTGTTTTGCGCATTTCCTGAACTGGCGCTTGAGCGCAGGGAGGGAGAGAGGGAGTGAGTGAGAGGGAGAAAGAGAGAGAGAGAGAGCGAACAGGGAGAAAGGCTGCAGCGCAGAAGACTACATGAGCGTGTAGCTCGCTCAAATGCTTTCGCCTTCTCAAATCAACAAAGAAAAGAAGCAGCTGAATATCTCGGCGAGTGGATGGCAATAGTCTCCGAGCGGTTCGTCAGCAGACTGGGAGAAGGAGGAATCCCGAACGCCTCTCCCACTCAACGCATACGGGAAAACGAATAGTACAAGACAAACCCTTCTGAAGACCATCACATTTGGGATATTTTCCTCTAGCTATATTAGGTTATTGCCGATATTTTGCCTGCTGGACTCGTTCCTCTACTCAGCGCTATTCCAGACGTAGGGAATCCGATTGTTTACGTATGCTTTCCCATTACGAGTAAAGACGGACCGTAAACAAACACAGGAGCCTCTGGTTTTGCATATCGCGTTTTTGCATCCTATTTGATTGTTCCGCTCAAATGAGAGAATCAGGTTGATTCGCGTAGTGGTTTGAGGGATTTAATCATCACAGCATCCATCTATATGTGCTTGTATACTGATGACGTGATGACATCTATGGGTATAGCGACCCCCTGAATCAAAACCTAAAACCGTCTGTTCCTGCAAAGAAGCCAGCTGCATCTCACTTGAGCGTCATCATGGTGGTTTTTAATGGAGTGTTGAAGATCAAAGTTTGTGAGGCACTGGACCTGAAGCCCACTCCATGGTCGCTCCGGCATGCAGTTGGACCAAAGACCCAGACCTTCCTACTGGACACGTACATTGCCCTCAACGTAGACGATTCACGTGTGGGCCAAACTTCTACCAAGCAAAAGACTAATAGTCCAGCTTGGAATGACGAGTTTGTAACGGAGGTTTATGATGGGAAGAAAATTGAACTGTCCGTCTTTCACGACGCACCAATTGGCTATGATGACTTTGTGGCCAACTGCACTATACAGTTTGAGGACCTGCTGCAGAATGGCAGTAGGCACTTTGAAGATTGGGTATGTTTATCTCACAATTTATTGCATGGTGTGTAATCACTTCAATCTGGCTCCTGGGGGCCCCTCAACACTACACATTTTGGGTGTCTTACTTTTCTCTCTAATTCAAGGTTATGGAGCACTTCTAATGGCATGGTTGAGAAACACTGGTGTAGTCTAGTGCAGTGGTTCTCAATCTGGGTCCTGAAGTAGCCCAGCACTGGACATAATGGATGTCTACCTTTATTTATCACACCTGATTTATATAATCCACTCATATTGCTGCACAAAGACCTAAAGCTGGTGTGGAGACATCCAAAATGTGCAATTCTGCGGTCTTGCAGAATAAAAAAAAAAAAAAAAACTGATCTGTTGTCTAGGCCATAATTTTCATCTGTTGTCTGGGCCATAATTTTCACAGGGACTGGTCGGTTTCGGCTTCTCCTCAGCAAAGCCCCTTGTTTCCCAGCCTTCCTCACGGGTTCTCACGCTCTGGGGGTTTTCCCTTTTTTTTTTGACAAAACATGTTCTGCTGCTGTTGAATCCAGACCTACATTTACCATTTCCGTCAAGTGAAGCTGTTTTGCAAATTGCTTTCATGAGATGTAACGCTCCCATGCCAGAGAAGGAAATATCGATGCTTATTATGCAAGCTGTAAAACGAGTTTGACACAGTTTGCTAAATGTATATGTTACAACCTGTCATTTATCTGGCCATGTTTTCTGAAAAATGATGGTACCTGTAGGATAGCACTGCCATATAGACCTGAGTGTTTCACCTGGACAGTCACCTTATTTTGGATTCTAACCACTTGGTAGAAATAGGCCCATTTAGAGCTCAATTCACTGGCTTTCATTAGAGTTTTAATAGTGTTGGGCTCTTTTGTGTCTTCTCTTTTGACTGTTTCTTTTCTAATGAAAAGAAAGGATATATGCATTATAGATTGTAATATTGTTTGCAATTACATGCTATTGTGTGTTTTTATAGGGTGTATAACACACATAAAAACTTGTCATTTTTTTTTTTACAATAGTCTAAAAGTTGAATGTTTTGATGCTGCTGTGTTATAATGCGTTTCAGTGTCATGGAAAAATAGCCAGAGATTAATTTAGCATTCTAATCATGCCTGGAATTATGAGTTGGTCTGTTATATAATATTCGTCCAGCTGAGGGGCTGCAGTGGGGAGTGCTTTGTATGTTTGGTCGTTAGACACCCAGGGAAAGGTCAGCATGTATCGATTATGTCGCTGCATTGGTCAATCTTCCCCTCCTGTTGCTGGCAACTCGCGCTGTAAATGTGTCAGGCGAGAGAGTGAGAAGGAAATCAATTGAATCTCTGCATTCCCCCATTACGGCTTTGAGGACCTGCCTAATCATAACACACCCTGAGCCCTCTGTCTCACTGTCAGCTCTTTATTTCACCTGTGTACTAAAGAGATTTGACAAAAGTACAAAATTGTTAACCCAGTTATATATGCTAAACTAATTTTCCGCTTTTGCAAATATTGCTTCTATCCAATGGTGAACCTTACAAATGTATCGTCACAAATGTATAAGTTCTTGTTGTTGTTTTTTTCCTGTTAGACTGTTAGTCTGGTTTTGGCTGTTGAAAGGGTAATGCATTGCATAGTTATGCCAATCCCAATCATAAAAAAAAATGGCTCAACAAAAAGGGCATATGTTAATTATGGTAAATGCATCTGACATAATTGAAGCTGAGCGTTTTGTCAGACTTCATAGCTACAGATATGCTTGATAACAACGGTTTAGACAGAAGCTATGGTATGTCTAATTTCCCAGAGAGGGAAAGAAGTATCTGCCATGTCTTGTTTATGCAAATTAATAAAGCAAGAGTTTGCATTCAAGAGACAGTGACCGGAGACGGAGGGCGAGGATGTCTGATAATCAGGGTTGTGCACCATTCAAATTTGAATTGAGAATGTTTAGAAATCAACCCCTGAATTTAATCAGAATTTGAGTTGAGGTATAGCCTGGGTTTCCCCATGCTGCCTTTGCGCAGCACGATTGTATTCATGCTGCAAGGCAGTCTGGATACCATGGACCAGATTTTTGCCTCAGCGAGGGGACCAATCACAGAACGGGGAGGGAGCAGCAAGACGATGATGTCGTCTATGCGACACACCGAAGCAGTTTGTTTATACCTATGGATCAAACATGGCAGCAGACGCGAAGTTACCTTTCGATGCAGCCTTAGATACATACGCCATCGTGTACACATAAATCTCTGACCCATCGTCTTCTTCCTCGTCTAATTTCTGTCGCTCTACATACGTCATCTGGTATAATTGAAACGATTGGCTATGAGCTACGTACAGGCGCATTTGATAGACATTCGTAGCACCCAATAAACGGCTCTGGGCATTCGTATACCACGCCTCAAATACGAGAAAATGAACATGTGGTTCCCAGACCACGTCTCAATGTCAATGAGACGTGGTCTGATGTTAGCCAGGCTAGTTGAGGCAACAAATAAATTTTAATTTGGATAATAAGTACAATGCAAAGAAATTCATGTAACAGTATTTTTTTTATATTTAGAAAATCAACTTAAAACAAACTAAATTTGAAAATTTAAAAGCTTTGAAAGCCTGGAAATGTAGGTTTTTAGGCTTTATAGACAGAATAACATAGATAATATAGTTAATAATATGAATTTAATTAACTTTTGTGGACATTTCTTTGGACTGTAATTCAGTAAATTCCTCTTCCTGTCATTCCAATTTTAATTAAACTTCCTGTAGGATATGTTCAATTCAATTCAAATTCCAGCTCATTGGTTCTTTAATTCTGGATTTTACACAAACCTGTTGGTGGTGTGATATTTAATTTGTTGGAGTATTGTTTTTTTTTTCCTATTAGAATACATGGCGTATGATGTAATGAGCCTTAGGATGGAAACTTCTTGATGTTTTTGGTGTTGTCTCGAATGAGGGTCAATATGTCTGAAAAAGAAACCAAATGAGGCCATTTTTAGGAAGACAGTTGTTTCTTGGCGCGTCATTTGAGCAGCAGAGGCCGGAGCCAGACGTCTCCCGAGAAACCCACACTGTTCACGCAGTGGACTCGCATCCAATGAGTTTCATCTGTACATTTACTCCCACTGTAACCCACACAGGTGGAGCTTTATTCTGCTTGGAACAAGGAGAGCATGCTTTCTAATTTGGATAACCACCTCTACTTCAACAAACACATACAAACCCACAGAGAAACAGTAGCAGCAGTGTTACAAAACTGTTTGGGGGAAAAAGTAACCAAACAGGACCTCAGACCCTAAAGAAGACGCTGTTGTGTCATGTTTGTTGCTTTACCACTTCTCTGTTGGGTTTCTGGCCTGTAATCTTTTCCCAATCATGTTGCGGTGGCCTGGTACGATGCAACAAAGTTTTTTTTAGAAATTGCACCACTTTTGGGCACACACATCTTCTTTTAAGCTGATGGTTAGTTGTGTTTGAGTAGACGTGTTAGATGTCTGTGTAGCTTTTAGCGGAAGAGGTAATTGGAGCCTGCTCTTTGTGGATGGTTCTCAGACACTACTAAGACACAGCCTCCCGTCTTTGTTGTGAAAGGGCAGGAACGGACTGAATAATTTACAACCCTTCCATCAGCCTCTTTATGGAATGTCTGACCCTGCAGAGATCACCCACAACACCCTTAGCTCAAGTTAGCAACAATCCCATTATCACCAGCGAAAGTGGCCCTTATCTTTAGGGATATCTCTGCCTTCAGTTACCAGCCTTTTACTGAGGGGTCATCTGTGGGGAGTTGGAGAAAGAGGGAGAACTTCTGCTGCTCTTGTAGCCATTCATTCGCTCTTGTCTTTTTCGGGTTCATTCATTCTGCTTCCTCATATTGTCCTCCTCCTGCTATCCCTCTGCTCTCTACTGGGTTTCCTTCCCTTCCATCTTGTTGTCCGAACTATCCTTGTTAATTTCATAGATATTTTTGCTCCTGAGATTATGCCCAGTCCATTACAAACCAGCTACAAATGCTTAAAACACATTTCACTAGGAGTGTTGCTTTAGCCACAGATAATGAGCTTTAAAGGCCTGCAGTTTCCTTAATGTCTTTCCACTGCATTACAGCTTACATTACAGTTATCGATTGCACTCAGTATTTTACATGTTTATGCCCAGCAGCTCTCTTTCTATTGTGTCTTCTTAAATGTTGGTGTTAGCTATACAGTTCTTCCGGGTTACTTGACATTGACATCATCTATCCTCACTTCTTCCTGGCCATTTGCGCAAATAGGCCAGGCTAAGGCTAAAACACCAAACTGAACTGGGTGTTGATTGAGTTCTTTCCCATCAGCGTATTTATGCTTCTAGACTAAGGTGGCAACATGTCGACTTGCACAGACAGAAACCTTCTCACGTCAATCTGTTTGTTGCACATCGGTTCACAGTGTTTTTCATCAGTTCGCAAATCTCAGGATTTGAGGGGGAAGGGTGAATTGTGGGTAAGCAGGGATCAGTCCATCCAGCAGCACTAATTAATTTCATGAAATGACTCGATGAGAGACCGGTGAATTGTCTTTATATGTTTGTTGTGTCTGTCCTCATTCGTTTCTCTTGTGTAGTTTGGTTTGTGTGTGAGTGTGCTTTGCAGTTTTGTGTGTCACCGGCGGTTGTCTAGCTTTCACATGCTGCGTTGAGCTCTCGCCTGGGGCACATTGAGCATGCTTACAGGGAAAGGGAACAATACAGGTGACATATGAGATACTCTGGCAAATATGCCTGATCTGCACCGCTATCTACATGACCCAGTTACACACACACACTTATACTCTCAGCTCCACTGCTAAATACATCACATATGTGAATATCTTCTCTTTGTAGCTAGTGCTAATGGGTTTTAAACTTCCGACTTGTTGATCTTTAGTGTGGATTCAGGGGGAAGCTCATATAGTACAAAAATTAGTGATGGAAAATGGGATCAATTCCAATGTGATGGATTTCTCATTGATCTTAGAGCTTTGAAGCCATTTCTCATGGTTCCAGTG